TTCTACCGGATGTTTTAATTTTCTGAAGAGCTCTTTTGAGTTATTGTATGTTGGGGTTCATGGAAGTGAGACTACTTTGAATAGTGGAGTTTTTGTCTATATATTTTTGGTTTACCATTGTAACGTCCACCTTAAGCAAAATATTATGCCGCTCTATCCTCAAGAGACTAAAGGATGCACCGAAGTAAAACGTACGACTGCAACAGGATCAAATTACAGCACTACGCATCATCATTGAATAGAGCATAGAATGGCAATCAACTGAATTCAACCTTAACTTGATTGACTTTCAAAAGGCCTCCGATAGCGTCTACCGAGAAGTAATTTGTCAGGTAGCTGCTTCAACATCACGGTGTCAGTGCCACAAATCTTTATCAACCTCATTCAACAACTATATGAAGACGCCATATACAAGTGATCGACAATGGAAAGCTCAGTGATTCCTTTGTAGTGACGAAAGGAGTAAGACAAGGTTGCCACCTACTATCACTGATGATCTTCCTGATTGTGGTGGACTGGATGATACAGCAAACTGTGAGGCGTTAGGAGAGGTGCATACGCTGTTTGACCGATGAATAGACCCCTGAAGAAGATTTGGATTTCGCCTTCGCTGATGATGATTTATGTCTAATGTATTGTTACACAAACTGGAAAAACTACAGGTGAAAACTAACGAGTTGGCAGAAGAGGCAGGGCAGCGAAGGAAGATGAGGCCTCCTTCATGTGAACGTAGAGGAGACCGAGGTGATGAAGTTACCCAACGAACAACAGCATCAACAACAAGCACCAATCACCATCAATGGAAGAAATGTTAGGGAAGTTGTCTCTTTCACCTACCTACCTACCTACCTACCTACCTACCTACCTACCTACCTACCTACCTACCTACCTACCTACCTACCTACCTACCTACCTACCTACCTACCTACCTACCTACCTACCTACCTACCTACCTACCTACCTACCTACCTACCTACCTACCTACCTACCTACCTACCTACCTACCTACCTACCTACCTAGGTTGCTTTGGTATACATAGTTCTTAAAGAAACCCCCCTTTATTAGGTGGGTCTTTTTAGCCTGATCATGAGGCAGAAGACACTTAGGTCAATGTTGCTGGGGCAGAGAGCCAGCTGAATCGTATTCACAAAGGCTCCATTAAGCATTCCAAGTTCCTACAAAGTTAAGTGCCAGCTACCTGACAAAACGTCTCGCTGACACCAGAGTTCTTGTTCTCTATGGTTCGGATGAGCTGCAACAATTCCTGACTTTGGTGTAGGTGTAGCTATCAATCCCATCTCACTCATGTCTTTCAGTTCTTAAGCAAGAGCTGACTGATCTGTTGCGTAAAGGGTTTATGCATACCCTTTTATTCACTGACCACCATAGAAGAGGGATAAGTTTAGTTGCATCCGATAATCAGGTGATTTATTCCAATATTACAGTATACAAGATTAATGTTGTTCATAGATTGTCTATAGTCTCTGGTTACTGCAGTAATCTTATTCAGTAATTGTAACTGCTTTCATAAGCAACGCTTACTCAATAATTTCTCATAAGATATGGATAGAAAGTTTATTCAACATCCAGTAAAATAATTTCTGATGGTAAAATTATTCTGGATTGATTGCTACAGCACGTTTTGATATTTCTGGTTAAAATGTCGCTTTACTTTCCTAAACTACATCCACAATTCATACTACTTTCTCTTGTACTCAAAATTGCATAAATATCTGATTAAAGGAATTGAAGTAGTAATTATGCAGCACAGAGTTGATTATGTACAGAAAATGGATTTTATATTGCAAGACGAAAACAATGAAAGACTGAACTAGAAAGGGAGAAACGGATGTAATTGTTCAACTAGAGAAAATGAAAGATGATGGATACATTTCTCATCAACCTTATTTAAAAATTTGAAGCTTATAGACAGCACGATCCCACGGATGCATGACCTACTAAATATACATAAACCTGAGATGCCTCTTCACCCTATCCTAACCCTAACTCAACTCGCCTTACCATGCTATCACCAAATGGTTAGTACGATTATATCAATATTTGTGTGACCAGTTAGCAAAATATATAGCGTAAGAGATACTTTCCGGTTTGTTGACAAAATAAAAAATAACTTGAATGTTTTTAAGCAGATGCATGGGGAATTCCTACATGTTTACTAACCTCACTATAATGGAAACCCTCGACTATATTTGTGAACCATTATTAGACAGGAGATTAAATACTGGATTTTGATTATGATTTGGAGAGAACTATTGCGAAAACGTACAATGACTGTCCAGTTCATCTTCATCAATAATCTGTACAGAAAAGTTGATGGAGTGGTCCTTAAAAGATTAAAATGTTAATTTGAAGTTTTATTATCGATAAATGGATGATACTTTCTTAGTGTTTGATAGCTCCCAATGCATTCATTCTATTCTGAACCATCTCAAAAGCGCTCATCCATCAATTCATTCTGCATACGAAAATGATACATTTTCTTGATGTACTAATGAAAAGCAACAAAGATGGCTTTATACTGAGAAGCATATACAGAAAATTAACGTCTAAGGCACAGTGTACACAATTTCTTAGCTTCGTATGGATGTATTATAAATGTAACATAATCAGGTACCTGACTTATAGAGTAAGATTGATTTGTTACAAGGAGTGTATAGGAAAAGAACTAATATGTATGTGTGACATTTTAAGTGAAAACGGATATTCGATTAGTCCACCAAAACTAACATCAGACATATTGGTCTTAAACAAGAATTGATGATACTGGAGAAGAAGCCTTTGTTTCTGCGCATACAAATCGAGGGAGATGTTACAAGTGACATTTTATTACAAATATTAGATTTCAAGTTGTTTTTCATTGTAGACTGACATCAGTTGAAGGAACAAAGGAAACCTGAGAGCACTGGACAGCTGTTTCGTCCGACTAGTATGGGACTCCTCAGCAGTGCACACCAACGACCCAGCCAGGGATCGAACCCGTGAACTTCAGGTTCCGTGGCCAATACGTCGTTAGTGCGCACTGCTAAGGAGTACCATACTAGGACGAAACAGCTGTCCAGTGATCCCAAGTTTCCTTTGTTCCTCCAAATGATGTCAGTCTACGATGAATAACAACTTGAAATATTTTCAAATCTCCACAACTCCCTCAAAATATTACACTGATTTATTTGATTTATAACACACCACGTGATACAGTATTATTTACTTGATGATGTTTAGAACAGAAATTATCATTACTCATCATCATATGATTGTAATCACACCACTTTCGACATTCGATTTTTATAGTTACATCACCTCATATGAGTTGTCTTTATCGGTAGTAGAACTTTCCATATCTCTGATGTAAGTGTTGTGTCATTTCTATCACATGTGTTGCGTGTTGATTCGATGAACAAAAATTCAGTAATCAATCTCTCTCTCTCTTTACCTAAATGTATTGGACTTAAGTAGAGTGGCTTTATTTAACCCTATTGTGTGGTTGTGTGTGTGTGCATGCATAGCGACAGCCGACTGTTTTTCTACATTATTGATCTTATTTGGGTCTGTTATTCTATATTTAGATAAATTCCTATGTTCGGCTATTCTAACTGACCCCGACCAACCGGGCTAGTTTGACCTATGCACTTGACCTCATAGTTATTACATCGCATTTGATAGATTATATTATTTTGCTTAATTGGTTCTATCTGATCTTTAAACCAGCTGACAGAGTTTATCTCGGAGTGAGTTTGTAGGTTTAAATGCTCCTCCAATTCCAGCTCTGTTGAGGATCTTATGTACAGTTTCTGATGTACACACCTTCTACGGTAACACAATGGAGGCTGTGAACTCATTTCCACTCGTGTTGTCCTTATTAGTCGAACCCGTGTGACTGTTATTTTTTCGTTTCTTGTGAATATGTAGGAATTTCGTGATAAACTGTGGAAGATAATTATTAACTATTAGTGCTTCTTTTATGTGCTTCAATTCATTGTTTAGGTTGTTTCTGTGACTAGTCAGTTTTCTAGCTCTATCACTTGAACATTTGACTAAACCTGCCATAGCTGACATCTGATGGGATGATTTGAAGTCTAGATACCTGTTGGAATGTGTTGGTCTTCTGTAGACAGTAGTATCCAAGCTACCGTCTGTCCTTCCTTTTTATCCTGTAATTCTTCTGGTTCACTTTCTACCTTCTCGTGAGTGAATTGGATTGCGTCCACTACTGAGTTTATATGTATTAGGAAATTGTCGATATGTTCCTATTTCAACACAGTAAACGTGTCATCCATATATCGCCAGCATATCTTAGGTGGAGGACTAAACTTTTGTAAAGCCATGCTTTCCTAACTATCCATAAATATGTCTGCTACGATTAGGGATATTGGTGATCCCATTGCTACTGTTTCTGTTTGTCTGTATATTTTGTCCTGAAACTTGAAGGCTGTGGAGGTGAGGCACAACTGTACGCCTAGTATGATCTCATCAAACACAAGAGGGTGGAATAAAGTCACTCTACTTAAGTCCAATATATTTAGTATATAGTATATTTAGGTTCGGCTTTATTTATCACTCAATAGTCAGCCAATGCTCAATCCACGACTGAAAGGATAACAGGAATAACTGGCAATATCGTGGCATACACATAGGAGCCCACCTGCCAACTGAAGTCGAGAAATTCGGCCGTGTAGAGTAACTGAAAATTACAAGTATCATTACAACAATTGACACCTATTGTACAAGATGTGGCTATCATACTCCAGTGGCTTAATGAATATATATCCCTTTGGAGTTTGAAAGGAAGAATGGGAATAACATCATTCACTGAGATGCAGGTACATCCAGGTGATAAACAAATCTCAAATAGAATAAAACATGAGTCCCGTATTACTTTCGCCAATCACCGACTTATCATTGATAATTACAGTAACATGAATATTATTTTAGAAAAAGAAAACAAACGAAACGGATTGATTAGTGTTAGTTGAAGCATTTTTCATCTTATATTATATACACATATCATAGAATCGTAAAGATTTCCATATATTAAACAGAATATTCGCATTATCATAAGTGTGTAAAGTAATAAACTGTTGTCTAACATTTGAAATATATTTTTCAAAGAAAATATTTTTATATGAACAATTGGAATTTGAAGTTTTTCTAAAATAATACCAATTAATACATCATCAAAGGGGAATAATTTCATATGACGTAATATCTTATTCAAGGTAATAACAACTGGTCGACTAAAAATTATTGTTCCACCAATAGGATAACTTGGATATGAATTGAATGGGAAATTTCTATTCGAAATAAACCATTTACTATTTTCATTTCGAAATGGTACAGCATGTTGAATTATATAACCTCCAACATATCTAGTATATTCAATAGTATTAATATTTGAAAGATATTTTGCTAAATTCATTGGATTAACAATAAAATCTTGATCAATTAATAAAATAAACTTTGCATTAAAACAATGTAAAGTAGCGTATTCAATGGTTCCAATCAATTTTCGTGTTACATTATAATAACTTTCAATAAAATCAAATTGTAGAATATCTTGATATATTTTATGTTCATAAAATATTCTAGATTGTATTAATGATGATGTATTCCATGCTGATATATTCTGTCTACCAAGAGTAAAGTAAATATATGCTCTAATACCATATTTTATATAACATTTATAATTAGCCCATGTATTACGTAATGATTGGCGTAATTCAAACTGATCAATTGTTGATTTAATAAATAGTAGAATATTTGTTTCATTATTATATGATAATGAATTACATTGGTTTTTTGGTGAAAGGATTGTATGAATATATGTTGTATTCGGTGTAAGTAAGTATTCATAATATCCAGTATGATTCATACTATTATCAACAGGGTATACACTGTTATGCTTCTCGGTATATACAATAACTTTATCATTACATATCATATAATATATACCATTTATAAAAATTATTATAAAGTATATAATATTGAAGAAAATAAACAGAATGATAAAACCTTGAAAAATACGTGTTAAAATAGTATAGTATAAAGTGTAATCAATGTTTCTTTCATATAGTATTCGATTGAATGGATAACACAAATGTATGCTGAGCATTGCTACAATTATGAATTCAATTATCCCTTGATTTGTTCATTGAACATTATCTGTAAATAAAACATACAGCATAGTTAATCAAGTTAGCTTTGTATACCAATATGATACCCTGATAACCAAGTAGAGCTATAGTACCCGATAAATCACTTACTGAAATTATTATCATTATTATTATTATTATTATTTTCCTCTTGGGTTCCTAGTTGAACATAGGAATTCAGTAGCACGCCGTTATTCCACTCTTTTCTCTGCAATCTGTTCATCCTTTCTCCACGACTCCACACAAGCTTTCATTTCTTCCTCACATCATCGCCTCCACGTCACCCTCACCTCGGACGTCCAACTCATCGTTTCCAATCCAATACATCTCCATGTTCTTCTTCCGCATATTTGTTGGGTGATGGGTTCTCGCCTCCTTGGTTTGTTGCTAGCCAGCCAGCCAGCCAGCCAGCCAGAGTTCCTTCTTACTTATTCTTATTATCCTTTCCGGTCATCTGATCTCATCTTCAGTATTGAGTGAGCGTGGGTTGCAGCTGTTGATGAATGTCTGTAGTTTGTTGGAAGTGCTTTTCGTGACACACCAAGTTTCTGAACCATCACATAGAAGCAGTGACTTGACGTTGATGTTGAAAATCCGTTTCTTCTTCATGCTTTCTGCTGAATGCAGTGGAGTGCAGTAGATCTCCACACTAATATCAGATTAATGAAAGCCAGTCCTGCTTTGCGGATCCTCGCTTACTTTAAATGTATCGTAAATTATCCCCTAATGCCATAAAAGACACTTCCGAAAATAGAATGCAGATCACTATCAAAAAAATAGTTTATATTCATCTGTCAAACGTTAACAACAGAAAATTTGTCACTTCTTACTGCTATCAGTCTCATCTTGAAACAGTAAGGTGGTCTTATTGCCAAATGATCTCTAGTACTTCATCAACACACAGGACTGAACAGAATGAAACTGGCATCTCTTAAATGATAAATCAATACATCTAATCCATCCCAAACCGGAGGTCGATCACCATGAGTGGGTTCACATGTCGGGAGAATTTTTGTGACACCTACAATATGCAGATGGCATAGTCCTGTTAGGTGAAGACACTGACAAGATCGAGAGTCTTCTGGACACTTTGACCAGTGATTTGAGAATGTTTGAGATGCGTATATCACCACTCAAATGTAAATTGTTACTCCAGGATTCATCTTCACCGGTTCCACGGCTAACAATAGAGAGTGTAATGGTTGAGTGTGTTGACCACTTCACTTACCTGGTAAGTAGGATCAGCCGTGGTGGCTCACTGACCGATGGAATCTCTACACCAATATAAAAGCATGACTGGCTTTTGTCAACTAACACCACATATGGCGCTGCCGTGATATCTGACTGCCTGTTATGGGTTGCGTGCACTGCACCTGCACCTGCACAGCAGTCCGCTCTGTTCCACTGTATGGCTGTGAAACATGGCCATTGAAGGTGGAAGACATGAGAAGGCTTCAAGTGTTTGACCACCGTTGCCTTCGTAGTATATGCCGTATTCCATGGTGTCACCACATGAGTAATGCAGAAGTGAGGTGTAGAGTTTTAGGGAGTAGAGGTGAATCAGTTGACGAAGTTGTGAACCTCCATCGACTGAGGTGGTTGGGACATGTGTTACTTATGCCTAGTCACCGATTGCCTCGTCACACAATGTTGGCTGAGGTGGGTGCAGGCTGGAAAATGGGCCGAGATGGCCAGACTAAAACATGGCATCAATGTGTGAAGTGTTTGACAGTTGGTTTGAAACATGTGGGGCGACGGAGACTGGGTGGTTGGGATTGGCGGACAAGAGGAACCAGTGGTTGGAAACCCTAGGTGATCACATGGTTCAGAACCGATGTCAGTGGCGCATATGCATACCGACACACATCATCCTCATCTTAACGACGCTATGCCGAACCTCACCATTTTCTCATTCTTCCTTTCTCTCTTTTCCTACTTCATATTTCTTTTGACTAAGTTTCTTTATCTTCACCTTTCACTCACTGCCTTTCTACTTGATGTACTGATATGAGGTGTGGCAACTCGGATCGTTACGCAGTAATGCCTGTTCCTATGTTGATATTGATGATGATGATCACATGTCAGAGAGGATATCAGTTCCTTGGGGTGACAAGTGACAAAAGCAAGAAACCTTGGTAAAGCAAGGCTATCTGTCTCATCAAAATTCACCGTGATGGAGTGTCTCCTAGCTTGGTGATCACATTTTGAAATGATTAAAAGAAATCAGTCAGTACTCAGGACTATACAGCATGAATTCGGTATTTCTCCAGTGATCAATCAATGTTTGGTCAAAATTTCTACATACGGTGAAGGAATGATGTGGAGAGTAGTAGTAGTGGTAGAAAGGTCTTATTTTTAAGACTGCTCAATAAGACCATGAAAGTAAACAAGATGAACCATTTCTAACTATCAAACAACAGCGAATTATACTTGATGGCCCTTTTACTCCCGTGGTCTGGTGGATAATTCAATGGCGTTTGAAACGATGGGTACAAGGTTCGATTCTCCAATTGGAAAAACACCGCTCACTGAGGTGAAAAAAAACACATTTAGCTGATTAGTCCGTGATAGTACAAAATGAATGTCCCGGATTCCACTACGAGTCACCAAGATGGACACAACATCATGAATATCCGGGAGTATCGAGGCGTCCTCATAGGAGCCCGTCTACCAACAGTGATTTAGCAGTTCGGCCCTGTATAGCAACGTGAAATTACTAGTATCAAACAACAATGAACCGTTCTGTATTACATACAAAGCTCAGTTCTACACATGAACGGCATTAGATTTTCAACGCAGATAATATAAAGATTTACACCTCAGAATGTAGCCCGTTTCGAGATACAATGACGCGTGTTGGTGACATGATCAATTTAAGCACTACTTACCGATGATTTCAGTTGTTCAGGAGAGACGTGTGGAACCCGTTCAGAGTGAAGTAACATGGCACAGGTTGTATATCTGGTTCAATAGGAGGAGATGGACGGGGGGCGGGCGTCAGTGGAAGTAGTCAGATGAGATAGATAGTTGGTCATTTGATTCATTTGATAGAACTGGTATACAGGAGAATACTGATATCAGTATTGTTGCAAGAGATTTCTGATAGGAAATCAATATTCGAAGTCATCAGCTGCTAACGTAGATGTCTTGCATTTCAATTCTTGTCTCATGTGTGGTTAGTTGAAATATCATTGGATAATTTATCCAATAACTTACCCATCAAAGTTAGCTATTTGACATTTGACATAGTTGTTTGATGGCAAGGAAGTATCCTGGGGGTTGGGTGGAGTCTCTTTTCATCAGTTCTCGTCTCTGAATGTAGTGTTCTTACCTACTGAAATTGTGTTGTCATTTACGTTGTTTCACAGTCGTCAAAGTATCATTGTGGTGTGGTACAAATTAAACAGGCTGTTTTTCCTATAATCGTCTGAAGTGAATGATAGTTCTTGTATAAACTTGAGAAGTGTTATTTGGTTTACCTCATTTTGTGAAGTATTTAGTCGTATTTAAATGTAAATTTTTGTAACTGCATATAATGAAAACTATTGATTACATACGTTTTGGTATCCTGATGATCAGCTGAAGTTGACAATGAAGAACAGAACGATTCGAGATGCTATTCAAAACCCCTTCAGTCCCAAAGAACATACTATTCATAAATGTTGGATTCATGGGAGGAACATTGTCAGAGATGCTGAATGATCGATTGTCCAAGGAACTGAAGAAGACCTTCTTCTTTTCCGCCTAACTTCGGATTGTTTTCTTTAGTCGACAATTAATTCATGGGTGTGTAGGGGATAAACTACCACCTTCGGCAACCCCATGTGTATTTACTAATTCATCTGCTATTGTAGAGGTGGTTTAAATAAGCCGCACAAACCTTGTATCCTCTCACTGCATCTCTGAACACTATCCTGCATGGCTGATGGAAGTGAGCGTTAAGTGATTGTTAGCGACAGCTGCTGATGAATGTCTGTAGTTTGCTGGAAATGCTTTTCGTGACGCTCCAAGTTTCTGAACCCTCTCATAGGAGCACTGACTTGATGTTAGTGTCGAGAATCCAGATGTTGTTCACGCTCTATGCTGAGTGCAAAAGATCTCTGCAGTCATTATTTCAGACTGATGCAGGAAGGCCTGTCTTACTTTCTTTCCGATCCCAGATTTGACATCCTCATCTATGCATGTGTCGCCGCCTGTAATTGAAACGACGCTGACCAGGTGGGAAGGTAGGTAGGTAGGTATGGGTTGGTATGTAGGTAGGTAGGTAGGTAGTTGAAAGAGACTGCTTCCTTTGGATTTATTACGTTAATGGTGATTGGTGCTTCTTGTTGTTGTTGGTTGGTTATCTTCATCACCTCTGTCTTCTCTACGTTCACCTGGACGATGTCCCATCTCCTTTCACTGACCTGAATCGCCTCTTCTGCCAACTTGTTAGTTTATGCCATTTTAGTCTGTTTATTAGAAATATCACACAGTGAAACAGTAGCATTTACTGCATAACGTTTCGGATACAATTTCTTGTCCATATTCAACACCAAACACATGCAATCGAAATGATGTTGCATCTATCCCAGATATATGGAAAATTCTACTAGCCTTGTCATCACAGAGAAGGAGAGAAAACTAGGAATATATAAAGCCTGTCTCGAAGTTGTGGAGTTACCTGATATGAATATAGACACTTAATTGTATCCGAAACGTTATCCAGTAAATGCTACTGTTTCACTGTGTGACATTTCTTATACACAGACTAAGATGGACTTACACTCGACCACAGTGCTCAAGTTTC